CATATTTTTCATGCATGTATAAATATGTGTTCATATATGTGAGTCCTCATGTGGGGGCTTACAAGTGCATGTGGGTAGAAGCCTGAGGTTAATGTTGGGTATTTCCTCAATCACTCTCCACCTTCAAGGTCCAGGAAGGGTCTTCACTAAACCCAGAGCTCACTGTTTAGCTAGTCTGTCTTACCAGCTTGCTGATTCCCTGATCTGCCTCCCACAGCTTTTATATGGGCATATGAGATTTGAAACTTCTCTTTGCTATTGTAGCAAATGTTTTACCTACTGAACTAGCTCTTCAGTCTTTTTACATGCTGCTGAGGGAGGAAAGTCATCAACAGTCTTACTTAGCTGCATTGTGAGATACAATAATGATCAGCTAGCAATATATCCCTATTTGGCAAAAGAGGCACGAGTGTTACGGGGTAACCAACAGCTTTCTAATTGGATTTTTAAAGACTCACTCCACAAGAGGAAACTCAGGCCTGGCACTATAAATCTTTCTGAGAACACATAGCTAACATAGCCTCTGGGGAGATCCCACTACTATTGTTTTGCTAAATAGACACAATATCAAACTACCTTCTACATGCTTATCCTTACAAACATAGATTAGTGCAACTTTCACCACCAACCCCAACAGAGCAGCTTCTTATGCTGTTATTAGAAAGAGTCACAACTGATAAAATGCAGAAAATAATTGGCTGAGGAGTACTCATCTATATCACAACGTGCCCCCATGCTAAGGCAAAACTAAAGAAGATGGTGTGGAAAGATTATAGGAGCCAGAGATAGAGGAAGACTGCCAAAAAATAGTGTCTTCTGGACTTGACAAGACCTTTACACTCAAAAACTCAGAGTAACTGTAGTTGCCTGCATAAGAACCGTACAAGATCAAGCCAGTCAAAATTCTAGCATGGGTAAGGAAGGAACTCATGAGGCCCCACCTCTACTTGAAACGAATTGTTAATTGATGGTTGCTAGAGATGGGAAAAGTCTCTTTTGATGAGTATGGCTCATGGTAGTGTAATGGTGAATATTATGTTAAGAGGATAAATTTATTGTGCTAGGCTTGTAAAAAAAAAAAAAAACACAACATTGTTTTTAGCTTGTGTAAGCCATGAGAAAGTTGCTCCTACCTAGAATGTACCATCAGCTGACCCAAGATGGACCACTTCCTGGTGCAGTTGGGCTACTCTTAAAAAAATGCTGATTATTGCAAAATATTTCACTGCCTCAGCTATTCCTACAAGGTAATGGGTCACAAGATGAAACAGACTAATTGTTAAGTTCTGCTTTTTTTTTTCTTTGAAACCCTTGCTTGCAGCTGGGCAGTGGTGGCGCACGCCTTTAGTCCCAGCATTCAGGAGGCAGAGGCAGGCAGATCTCTGTGAGTTCAAGACCAGCCTGGTCTATAAGAGTTAGTTCCAGGACAGCTGCCAAAGCCACAGAGAAACCTTATCTTGGAAATAAGAAAAAAGAAAAAGAAAAAGGAAAAGAAAAAGAAACCCTTGCTTGCTTGGATACCTGAGGCATTTGTTAAGACATCTGTTATAAAATCAAGCCTTGCCTGCACCCAGACAGGATATGAGTTAATTTGGCTCCCCAAAATTATAACTTCATGGGTTTTGCTTTTATAATCCTAATAATCCTTAGTTGGTACCTTACCTAGAGAACTCTTTTTAGTTTGGTCCTGGCCAATCTCTTTTTACTATAAAACCTTTAATTTACAAAACCAAAACTTGAGTCAGACTTGTAAATCTCTGAACGACCCCAAACCCACAGAAGTAGGATGCCCAACCTCTAGTGGATAAACCTACATCCATGTGCATACTGACAACCCTAATTAGACTCAGTGACTTATGGGAAGGGCTGTAGGAGAGGGAGTGGGGAATGGATTTGATAAAATACATTGTATACTTGTATGAAACCACAAAAACAAAATGTGTTTCCATTTTGTCTCTAGAAAAAGAACAGGGAGGGAAAGAGAATGTGTTGACTTTTCAAAATGGCAAGTAGTGAACTTTTAAAACTGTAAAGGTCTGATATTTTCTCTTCATAAAATAAGGTATTAACAACTCCTCATTACATGATTTCTGAGCTGTTGTGAACCCAACCAATCAATCCATGGTAATATTTACATTAAATTTCATTAATCCTTCTCATTAGGCATTTGAGTTAGTCTCACAGCTGTATTTTATCAACTGAATTGAGATTAAAGACAAAATAGACAGGACTTTGGAAAGTGTTGAGTAAGAGAAAACACATAGATGGTTTACAACATAATCAATAAGTCATGCCTTTTCCTATGCACGAATGTTTATTTTTCAGAAACGCCTGTAATTCATTAAAATACCAGTTATACTTATGAACTAAATGCTACAAAAATGGCTAAATATACATTCATATTTGTTTTAGCAAAGAAAATAACATTGTACAATTGAGCAATATAGATTTTCAAGATTGTAAAAATTATTAAATATAGTGACACTTTTGTTAACTAAATGCTATCTCCCATGAAGTTGATTGGTAATGACAAAAAATAGAAGATTATTTGGGAAATAAGCAAGAGAACACTAATTTTGAAAGCGCTTCATATTCACAACAAAATGTGTATTTGAAGATCATGTGGTGGGGAGGGAAGGAACGACGTGCAAGGAGAGATACATAATTTGATAAGAGAAGATACGTAAGTTTTGTGAGAATATGTACATAGTTTTACCATTTTTCTTAAGATTCCTAAATGTTAATTGGGTCACCTTTGTTGGTTATTGAAGTAGTAGTTAATTGGCACTCTTCACAATCAATATGATCATAGGTCAGCTCACAGAGGATAGCCTGTGCCTACCTAAATAACAACTCTTTAATCTATGCTCATCACGGTGATTTGTGTTGATTTAGATGTCAGTACATAATAATCTCTGTCTAGGGCAGTGGTTCTCAACCTATCTAAATGCTGTGACCCTTTAATACAGCTCCTCATGTTATGGTGACCCCCAACCATAAAATTATTTCATTGCTATTTCATCAATGTATTTTTGCTACTGTTACAAATCATCATGGAAAAATCTGATATGCAATCCCCAAGGGGTCTCTAGCCACAGGTTGAGACCCACTGGTCTGGGGAGGATCTGTGGGTATGTTTTATCTTGTTGGGATGAAGATAGGGTGCTTTTTAAAAATGACCCTTCATCTAAGTGCATGATATAGGAAGAACCACTCATAGTCACCTTTAACTTGTTCTACAGATGTCACACCCATGACTCAACAACTGTCATAAGATGTCAAGAAGGATGGCGCTAAGCACGTTGATTTTATTTTTTTTTGTTTTTGTTTTTGTTTTTGTGAATGATAGGAATGTTATGGAAAGAGCCTGAATTCATGCTGAGGTAGCTAGTGTTAAAATACCCACCTCTGTGTTTTGGTTACTAGAGGCTAATAACAAGCCTCATTAATTTAAGCTTGTATCTACTATGGTTGTTTCCTTTTGAGAACAAAATATAACCTGACAACTGCTGTTTGTGCTTTCATGAGCAAGCTATTAACCATTTTTTAAAAACATTTTAGTTGGAAGATATTTAAGGTAATGAGACAATTAATACTGTGTAGCTTACAAAGCCCAGAGAGAATCATCTTTTCTTTAACTGTGTTTTGAGCACAGTGGGTAAAAGGTACTTGTATAAACATTGCAATCTAGTTTAATCACTGGACTTATGCAAAGGCAGAAGAAAAGACTAACTCCTTAAGTTGACCATATGTTTAAAGGTTCCCCAGACCAAAAATTAAATATGGGGAGCAATGAAGCAAATCATTTTGAACCTGAAGAATGAATATTAGAACATGGAGTGATTTAAAACAAAACAGAAATGAAAACACACAAACACACACACACACACACACACACACACACACACACCCCTCCCAAGGTAGTTCCTGATTCTGAGTCATCTATTTACTGAAAGACTGACCAATCCAACAGTAAAACTTCCTTTGGATTTGGCTCTGGTTACAGGAAATTGTAATTTTCTGGAGAATTGCTCAACATAAAATACCCTGATGACATAGATCCATATTTGAAATTGTGACCATTTCACTGATTAAAATATACTTTTTTTTTCTTTTAGGTACAAAAGTAGTTGACACAAATGGTTTTATAAAACAAAGAAGGTTCCTCTTGAAATAAAGATGCTAAAATATTTAGACTGTGTGGCTCTAACTTCTTATTGATAACATAAAAAGTAAAAATGGCCCAGGCAGTGGTAGCATACACCTTTAGTCCCAATACTCAAGAGGCAGAGGCAGGCGGATCTCTGAGTTTTCAGCCAGCCTGGACTACAGAGTAAGTTCAAGGACAGCCAGGGCTACGAAAAGAAAATCTGTCTCAAGCCATCCACCCACAAAAAAAGAAAAGATAGAAATAACCTCATGGTAATGGGATAATAATAGCAAGCAGAAAAGGAGAGTAGTCTAATGTTACAACAAAACAGGGTGGGCAAACTGAGATTGTTAAAAAGATTAACAACTTAAATGAAGGTAAGGTTATTGGGATGAAAGAACTTGTAAATACCTGAAATATTCTGGCATATTTTATAAATAAAGGAAACTTAGAAACCAGGGCGGGGAGAGGTACTATCTGAGCCACAGCATCACTTCTTACCGCTGGCTCGGCTCACTACACACCAGGCTGCTGTCACCTTGCAGCAGTTCTGTCTCTCAAGAGCTAGGATTCGAGGTGTACCATTGCATGTAGCCTGTCTTCTCTAGCTGAGGTTGTGATGAGAACAAGAGATAGTAACCAGTGAGGTTAGGCAGGTACTCTACACCAGCTCTTCTGAGAATGCCCTTACTGGGGGCCAGGAATGCCAATGCAGAGGTCTGGTCCGTGTTTCTGTGTGGCTCTTAAATGAGCATCTCTGCCTAGAGGCATTACTGTGTGACAGAAGCTGATGACTTGTAGTTGGGCCAACTGGACTGACCAGCGCACATCCCCCTCCTGAATTTCTTACCTTGGTGAGTCTATGGTCCTCAAAACAGAGCCAGGGATGAGGTTTCAAAGTTATACTGTCTTCAGAAGAAATCCGGAGGCAAGCCCCCAAAACGACTCAGTCTAGAAATAATATAGCCTAGGGGTCTTGATTCCGTTCAGTTTTCCTGTCAGTTAAAGAAATAAGAGGCAGAAAAAAAATCTGAAGTGCAACAGATAACAGCAGAGAACTCCCAAGCACCACTGGGAAGCTAAACAACCCAGTCTCTACTGGAGGCTTGGGGTTTTAAAGGCTCTGAATAGCCTTCCTCCCCCACTCAGGGTTGGTCAGTTTGAAGACAGATAGCATGGTTGGTTGATTGGTCCAAAAAATATGTATGACACGTCCTCAACAGGCCTTGAACTTGTTGAGCCAGTTTGTCAGCAGGAATTCTCTGCTTGAGGCGTTTGTCTCAAATTAGGAGGCTGAGAAAGAAACTGGTCACCTTTATTACTTAGCCTCCCAATCTCTGCCTACCAGTAAGTTTAACTCCTCATCACTCACCCTGGCAGACAAAAATACCAGTTTCTGGAAATGGGAGAGAAAATGGGCAGCAACGGACTCCCCCTAGATCTTGCATCAAGTGTGGTAAAGAATTGTCCCATAACCACACACACCATACACACGCACACACACACACGCGCACGCACGCACGCACGCGCGCACACACACACACACACACACACACACACACACACACATATCCTGCCAAGGCCCCGCCTAAACTATGGAAGCTATTGTGTTGACTGCCCTACTCTGCCTCGCCAAGGTAGTTTTTCCAAGTCCTTCCTCCACGGGAAAACCTCTTAGACCTTCTGTGTCTGGTGGCTGAAGACTGCGGTTGTCTTGTGTGGCAGCTGAAGACTTAATGCTGCCCTGTGTGGCTGCCAAACACTGACAACCTTTGCCCCCAACAAAGCCATTGACATCACCATACTGGCTGTCCAGGTAGCAGGTCAAATTTCTGTCATTCTTAACTGATGCAGAGGCCATTTGGTTAATACTTCCTGCCCAAATTATCCCTCTCAGATCTTTGTATGTTGAAGGCCAAGCACTAGCTCTATCAGTTTAGGAGCAGCAAGCTGACCTTAGCCAGCTCCTCCCCACATAGCTCTTTGCTACTTAAAATCAGGCCTTGCCTTTACCAGAGTCTGGGTCTCCAGCTGAGAAAGGCAAGCCACAAGCAGCTTCATGCTGAGAAAGGTAAACTCACAACACAGATTTCAATGTAAAAGCAAACTCAAGCCATCCTGTTGCTATTACTAAAAATTTGCTTTCTACTATTTCTTTATTCAAAAGAACTTGCTTTTCAATGATTTCTCCCAGTAATCAAGCACCTACGCCTCATGGCAAATGATTAGATATTTCCAGACAAAAAGAAAAAGTTTAGGTCTACAGAGGGAGTTCCAGGATAGCCAGGTCTACACAGAGAAACCCTGTCTTAAAAAAAAAAAAAAAAAATTTAAAGTTTATACAAGCCATAAAGGTCTGAAGAAGGGATTTAAAGTTTGTGAAAATGACTTAAGATATTGAAAATGAGACTTAAAGATGGTACACAATATTAAGACTTCAAAGTTCACTCAATGGAGCTCTGATATGTTAATCTAGCCTTGGTAAGACACTGGGTATTAAATCTTTTTTTATTATTATTATAGTCATAAGCCAGGCGTTGGTGGCGCATGCCTTTAATCCCAGCACTCGGGAGGCAGAGGCAGGCAGATCTCTATGAGTTCGAGGACAGCCTGGTCTCCAGAGAGAATGCCAGGATAGGCTCCAAAGCTACACAGAGAAATCCTGTCTCGAAAAAAATATATATATATAATCACCGACTCAAAATTTCAAATTTCCTTTGATTGTTTTCTAAATATAGATGTAAAAGTGCTGAGCACTTTGGCTTCCTCCCCACCAAGAAATGTCTGTCTTAGTACAGATAAATAAATGTTCATGCTTTTATTATGCTGGTAACTTTCAAGTTTGTTTTGCTATGGCTCAAAGGGGTGTGTGTGTGTGTGTGTGTGTGTGTGTGTGTGTGTGTGTGTGTGTGTGTGCTCCTACTGTGTTTGGACATCTGTTAACAGCTTTCCCTGCAATGGCTACTTCAGTGCAGATCACAGACAGTGGTCACGCTAATATCTAAAACTATTATCTCTTTTTGTAAGTTTCAAATAATTCATGTAAACTTCAGGGGCTTGCGACTTGGAACCACCTGTGACGGGTCAAACGTACTCAGGGATCCCTTGCCATTGTTAATCCAATGTGATTGCTCCTTGTATCTCTCTCTTCAGGCTCCCTCAGCTAACCAGATCCTGCCACCATCCACCACCACCACCACCCCCGCCCCATCCTGGCCTTTGACTCAAATTCCAGCCTTCTTGACCACCATGGCAACCCTCCCCAGTCCAGCTAAGAAGTAACTACACTACATCATCCCTTATCATCAGCAAAAGGCTAGATTATTAGTTCCCTCAGCTGTCCAAATAAACAGAAACGAGCTCAAGCTGGACTACAGGAGGATTTCTGGGGGTTAGATAAAAGCCAGCATTCCTCGGGAACTTTTGAAACTAGTTCCCATCTGCCAAAAGTTGTCATTTCCCTTACCTCTGGCAGAAGGGACATACGGTTCCATTGAGCCATATGTGGCTGCATATCAAAGCCATGCCAGCCTCCGGGCTCCTTCAATCCCTACTCATAAGTACTTGTTATACATTTCAAAGTCCCCACACCAGTCTCCTGACCTCCCTTCCCAGCTACCCACCCTCCTTATACCTCAGATTCTGACTATACTCGTTGCTGTTATCCGCTGACTGTCCCTTATTCCTGTGCTCTCACTAAGCTCTATTCTTATCACTCACCATCTCCACTCTTCTCTCCTGCTTCCCCAGCCGTGGCCAGGTCCAGTCTGCTGACGATGTTCTGCCTACATCTTTTTCTCTCTGCTCTGGACTCCTCCAGATGCCTCTGGTTGTTCTCTCTTTCCTATCCCCAATAAAAAGCTTAACCTTATCATGAAGTAATCATGTCAGCAGCTCCTTTACTGCATCCCCTCACATACAAGAATTAAACTCATGCTCAAACCTTTGAAAACATGCTCAAAACTCAACCCTCAAAGCACATGCAAGCTGTTAGATTATATTAGGTTATTTAAGGCAGCTGTAGAGAAACAGAAGGAGGAAAGGAAGAGAGACTTGGTCTGACCTTAGGTGGGACCATGTTTATTCACAGCGAGGAAGCACTTTATCACTCACGTGTGCAGATGGCCAAAATGCCTACAGAAGAAGATGGGATACGGGCCCCTCATAGGGGCGGAAATGACTTCCGTAGTCCACAAGGGAAGCTGGGAAGTGTAGTCCTTGAGCAGAAAACTATCATTCCTAACTCTGAGAGGATATAAAATAAAATGCAGGATAGGGGTGTTATAGCTGTTTTCTGCTGAGAAGGGGCTTTGTTGGAGGGAGTGGTTACAGGTCCATTGAAGGGAGGGGTCTTCTGGTCACGTAGCAAGGGGAAATCTTAACTTGATCAGCTGCAACAGATTGTGCATTTGTCATCCTGCATTACTGAATAGACTTGAAAAATTATTATTATCATTGTTGCTGTTGTTGTTAGAGGGTTGTAAACAGATGATTTTGTTTAGAATAAAACTGAGAGGTTTCCCAGGAAGGTTATGGAGTAAGGAGGAGCAGAGGTGAAAGAGACAGAATGGGCCAATGAGAAAGTGGGCATTGAGCTGATTCAGGGTGACAGCGACTGATCCCATTGCCAGGACTGTTGCACAAAAACAAGCTAGCAGAAGTAGCAGGGAGCCATAGAGCATCAAAGGAATTGAACAGGAGAAAACAAAGGACTAATGTAAAGAATTGCATCTGGCCTGGAATGAAAGGGATGAAGGTCCCTTTTAGCCAGAGTTTCTCCACAGCATCTAAAGGGACTTTAGGGAAATGTATCAGGAACAAATAGAGCTGTTGTAGGGTGAGAGCTATTGGGAAAGCTTATATGGGACATTTTATTTACGTAGAGGTGAAGTTCAGTGAGTATAACATTGTAAAGGTGGGGTAAAACGTAACTATGAGGATAATAAAAAGGAAAGAGTGATCCAGGGGAGAGCAAGAGTGATCCAGAGGAGAGCCAGAGTGGTCCAGGGAGAGCCAGAGGGGAAGGAACCAGAAGCCACACACTGGAGGCTTGTGGTTGAATTTTTTTCTGGTCCCTGTCTCTAGCCCCATCTCAAACCAGTTAGGATGTCTTGGCCTGGAAACAGCACGCTCACTAAGGAGATCACAAATCCCATCGGAGTAGCCAGATCTGGACTCCAGCAGTCAAAGAGTCTAGCTGGTCCCGAAGGATGTTAAGCTGACCTGAGCTGGTGAGACAGAGGTTAATTGATGGAAAGGAGGCTTTCATTTAGCTGCTTTAGTTCTGAGTCCCAACAACAATGTTCAGAGTAGCAAGATGAGAGATGAGTTGATGGCCCATGGTCCATTAGTCTGCTTTGAGAGGTCATCCAAACTACTTTTAGGGTTTGGGAACATCCCAATAACTGCTTCTAGGCTGACAGAAGAGTGAAAAGAGGGGAACAGTAGTTAGAATGTCTAAGAAGAGGGTCCATCCGGGGGACCATGATAAAACTTAACAGTCAGCAAAGATCCAGAACATGTCAGGGGATAATAACCGTACAACTTTGTGGGCGACATTAAGAGACAAATTTACACAAGGAAACCTTTTATATCAAGATTAACATGAATTAATAAAAGGTTAAATATAACATTAACATCAGGTGAAATGCAACTGGACAACTGGATGGACCCATGTACCAGAGTTCTGTAGGAAGGTAACTGCAATTAGCTGTTTGTTCCATCTGACAACTGCATACAGAATATCTGGAAGCAATGTAAAAGAAGTCAGTTAACACCGTAACACCTTAAGTAGAGCAAGTTATTAGTTTACTAAATAATCCTGCTGCCAAAGTGGTGCCTCACAGAACTGATCCCTTACTTAGCCTTCCTTCCTCCTCATCACCCATTGGGATCATATACCAATAGTACAGAAATTTATGGATGTCTTAGTTCTCCACAATGGCCTATAACTCCTTATTTACAAGAAAGTATAGACTTGATAAGAATGGGAAGGACCTACTTAACCTACTGGTAAAGAACCTATAGAAATTATTGTGCCACTAAATGAAATGCAGGTTTATTATAATAGGTAGGTAGTGTTATTATGTTACTCAGGACCTACAGATAATCATTATCCCCAAGATCACTTTGTAAGATTTTATTGTCGATACCCTGTGCACATTACCTGAAATTACACATCTAAGAATCCCATAGGTGTTGCTTAGTAGTGCTTTTACAGATGGCTCTGCAAAAGGCCTAGGCGCATATGTTTTATATGCAAATTCTACATCATCCACAACAAAAGATTGTACCCACTCCTGGTTGTACCCTCAGAAGTCTGAACTCGCCGTAATCAACCAGCTCTTACTAGATATCTCTCGGCCACTGAATATTTTAACTGCCTGTGCACACTGTGCTCAAACTGTTTCTCTTTTAGAAACTAAAAGACCTAAACCCACCCCCACTACTATTGTTATTTCACAGCTATATCTCCCTTGTGACTTCAGTATGACAATGACCCCAACCTTTCTTCATAACTTCTATCCATGCTTGTTCTAATCTGCCAAGTTCATTAACATCTAACAACGTTCAAGTCCATGAGCTGGCCTCCTCCTCACTCCTAATACTTTCTTTTCAGGCTGCTCAAAAATCTCAAAAACGTCTTCACCAGCTTTCTCTTCTTTCACACCACTGCCATCTGCTGGTGGAACTCATTAATTACTCCTCCAGGGTTAAAGTCTATTGCCATTTGGCAAACAGGTTTCACTCATATCCCAGAATTTGGATGCACAAAATATGTTCATGTAACAGTTGATACCTTTTCTGATATTTTGTTGCTTCTTTTCACAGGGGTGAATCAACCTCAGATGCCATTAATCATTTATTCTACACCTTCTTCTTTCGAGGAGTCCTGACAAGTAAAATCTGGTAACAGTCCTGCTTATACTAGCAAACACTTTAAGGAATCTTACAATTTATGGAATATTAATAATGTTACTGGAATCTCTTGAAATCTACAGGATCACACTATTATGTAACAACACCATCAAATATTTAAATGGCTTTTTTAAATAGAAGGGCACACACCTATGTACATACTATATGCTACATTTAGTTGCACTAACTTTAAACTTTTTTACTTTAAAGGATAATGCTTTTTCCATTCCACCAAAACATTATGTCCTAAATGAATCACAGCCTAAAGTATATGTTAAATGGAGTGGTCTACAAATTAATCAATGGAAAGTGACAGATGTTCTCCTCAAGGTTGAGCTGCGTCTTTCCAGAAAATGAGCAAAGTCCCAGATGGCTCTCACTCTGATACATCTGACTAGGACAGCATCCTGGAGACCACCGGTCAAATAGAGCATCTGAAGAGAGATGACAATGCCATCAAGAAGAGAAGTCCCAAAGAAGAACAAATAGGTCGATGTCTTGAGGAGGCAACAAGGTCAGAGTACTACTGATGCTAAAACAATGCTATGCTTATTGACAACATTACATGGTATTCTTTGGCTTGTTAATGCAGAATCCAAATGCCTTTTGTCAGAGGTGGGGCAGGGATAAAGGCACACCTGTATTAGGAAACAGAATGATGTTGTTTTGCCATGCTGAAGATTTTTTTATGCTTTTTATTACCAGTCCCAGGAATGATTACTGAACTGCAAAGAGAGTTTTCAAAAGCAGCTCATATGTTTACTAAAACTACTAACATTACAGCAAAAATATTAGCAGAAATTAATCGAGATGTTGAAGTGAAAGCCACAGTTTATTTTACAAAATAGACTTACTATAGATTATCTGTTGATCAAATAAGATTAGTTGTCAACAATTTCCTGGAATGAGTTCCTTTAATGTGTCCCTCCATGCTTGCTGCCATATAAATTTCTTTTGTAGTTAGCATGACTGATCATTAACTTGTATATTTCAGTTATCTTTAACAGTTACCTTTAACAGTCAAGATGGCAGCAAGCCACATAGTTGCTAGATCATCCGCCAAGAGGTTGTTATTTACTCCAAGGTAAGTCTAGGTCATCAGCCAGGGTGGAGGGCATTCTGGCCCTGAGTGTGGTTGTAAACCAGGGCCTTGAGAAAGATTAAATAGAACTGTGTTATATGGGGAAGAGGCCTGGAACCATGATAGCATTCTGTCTTGTGGAATTAAAGTCGGTTTAAGTATTAGAAATGGGAAAGACTCTGGGCCAGCAGTGGCCATTTGTCCAAGGTATATTGAAGTCAGGTCTGGACTGAAAGTTGAAGAAATGAAGTAGGTATGAGGTCTACCAAATGAAGCTTTAGATTAGCCTGTAGCCAGGCTAACGGTGAGTACCTTGGCATGGAGGATTTAGAACCCATAGCAGGGTCCAGCATCAAGGTAAAAACAGGAGTCAATATTCAGCCACTTAAAGCATTCTCTCAATTTCAAATCCACCAAATGCACCTGGAAAGGAAGGGGGTGCCCCCAACTTCTACAGTTCCAGGACTAAGGGACCAGAGGAAGGTTCTCGGGGATTTTGCTGATCAAAGCAGTAGGTAGAGAAGTCCCAGAATTTGAGTTCTCAGACAAATTTTCTCACGACCAGTGGAAAATCCCTGGAGCCTTCAACTCAACAGATCTTAGATAGAATAAAGCTCCAGTGAGCCCCCAGACCTAACCAGAATAAGAGTAGTTCCACGGTTACCTTGTCCCAGCGCTTTGCTATGTTGCATGCATGTTCTGGTACAGCATGGTCTCCTGCCTAAAAGATTCGACTGTGTCAGGGTGGGACACTAAGGCAAGAGAGAAAGAGACAAAACAGAGAATGAAAATAAAGGGCTGCCTGAGAGAACAGGTGGCCCTTAGAACTATGTGAGAGGCTGGAAGGTCTGTCCAGGGGTGGGTTTGAGCCTCTAGTGGGCTCAGACTTCCCATCCGGGGTTTCAGCATCATTATGTTAGATTATTTAAGGTAGCGATGGAGAGATGGAAGACAGAAAGAAAGAAAAGATTGATTTGACCTTAGGTGGAACCATGTTTATTCATGGGAGAGGGGTGCTTTTGTCATCCTCCTGTGCTGTGCTGATGGCCAAAATGCCTACAGAAGATGAGATGCAACACCTTATAGGGGAGGAAAATGTAGGAGGCTTGGCTCACAAAAAGCCTTAGAAAATCCCCGAGTTGGGATTTTTTTCTTTAAGGGAAAAAAATGACCGACACCTGGTTGCCCAGAAAGCTGGAGTGGATTTTGTCT